ACTTATATTGCTCTGACATCAATACATGTATGTGAATGGTGAAAATCTGCATGATTTTGAAAGAATTGTTGGCCAAGGGGAGGGGATCGTTACTCGATAGGTACGGGCCTGTATAAAATGCGTAATGTACTTGTATTTAACTGAAAAATTGAGCAGTTCTGTGTCAGAGGCAAAGTGTGGTTGGCAAAGTGAATACAGGTGGTTGTTTGTTGTAAACTTAATGTGGCAGAGAAACAATGGAGTGGAAACCCATTGATTAAAACTTAACTTTCCATTGAGTCAATCAATTAAATCCAAATTTTTACACAATGTTAATCATAACATAGGGGGCATTATACAATCAAATAAATATGAAAAACTTAATTTTCAAATAATTTTTTGTGGAACTCAGAACTGTTGGCTGTAGGAAATTAATCCATTGCCTCCAATAAACAGATTAGTTGTCAGTGTTAATGAAGCTCATATTAAAAAAATTAAATAATTAGGGATTAACATTTTACTGATCATATTGCTCTGACATGCTGTATGTCAATATGTTATTTACATCAGTTTGTTCTACCATGCACCAATTTGCTCAAAGCGTAATCATTGCTTTGTCAGATGAAACATTAAATTGTGCCCACTTCTTTATTTTCATTATCAAACAACTAAACATACCGAATCTCGCACCTTTTGAATATATATATTTGGAAATGGAAAACAAAGAAAGTTGTAATAAAAAGAAATGATCCAATTGTAGTAGAAACAAATGTATAACATCATGTACTAATCTGATGTTTATATCCCCCCTCCCGGGATATCCCCGGTTTATATCTCAGATATTATATGGATAACAGAAAACACACGAATTGTGAAATGTGAGAGAATACAAGTTCTTATTTTGTTTTAGCATGGATTAACACCACTTGTATCGGTTAACCTAATGGACGTTTCCTTATTTATTATCAGTGATTTGTCAGAAAAATCGGAGCAAAACATACAATATATTACAGGCTTGTAATAAGTTTTAGCCAAGCGGATCAATTTTCAAAACATACCAAGGGTTCACAATTGATAATAGGATTTTGAAAGAATTTTGGCAAGGGGGAGGGTGATTTAATCTAACCCAACGACCCCCCCCCCTTCCTTGCCATGGACCTGTATCAAATTTGTAATGTATTGATATATAGCAGTTTCGTGTCATCAATGTTTTGTGTTGTTTGTGAAGTGAATAAAGGTGTTTGTGTCTGTGTGAGAGAGGGCTTTAAGTCTTGTTTGTTGTAAGCTTAATTTGACAGAGAAACTATTGATTTAAATTGTGAGGAAACCAAATGGAGTAAAAATGTGAGGAAAGCCATTGATTAAAAATTAACTTTCCATTGAGTCAATCAATTAAATCCAAATTTTAACACAATGTTAATTATAACATAAGGGACATTATACGATCAAATAAATATGAAAAACTAAATTTGCAAATTATTTTTTGGTTGAAATTAGAACCATCGGCTGTAGAAATTAATCCATTAACTCTAACAAACAGATTATTTATCGGTGTGAACAAAACTCAAATCATAGAAATTGAATAATTAGGGATTAAAGTTTGACTTATTATATTGCTCTGGAATGTCAATACATGACGTGAATGTTGAAAAACTATATGAATTTGAAAGAATCGTTGGCCACGGGGAGGGGGGTCCTTAAGTATGGTTCTGTATAAAATGCGTGATGTGTTTATTAATTAATGTTTTTTGTTGGCAACGTGAATACAGGTGGTTGTTTGTATCATGGGTCTAGTTGAAAGCCCATGTTTGTATCTGTGTAAGAGGGGGATTTAAGAGTTGTTTGCCAAAAACCTAATGTGACAGAGAAACAATGGAATAAAAATGTGAGGAAAACCAATTAATTAAAAATTCAAAAATTAACTTTACAATGAATTAATTGATTGAATCAAAAATTTAACACAATGTTAATCATAACATGAGGGACATTATACAATCAAATATATATGTAGAAACTTATTCTGCAAATTATTTTTGTGGAATTTTTTAGAGCCATCAGCTGTAGAGATTAATCCATTAACCATAACAAACGGATTAATTACTTAAGTATAAGTATGAATGAAACTTATTTCATAGGAATTGAATAATTAGGGATTAACGGCTCGAAAATAAACGCGTATAATCGGTTTTTGATTGCAGATGCCAACATATTATTTGCTCCTGACAAAAATATTATTCTATATTATATGGTATTATATGTTGTTCCCTTTAAATAATACACGAATAATATTATTAAATCAAAAATAATTCTTCAAAATACGTATTATATTTTTTTCCGCTATAATACAAAAAATAACTGCCTATTATACTGGAAAAAATATTCTCTATGATTCTCTCTTAATGCAACTTATTTTGCAGTATATTAAACATTTTATTCTATATTATTTTTACATTTTTACCAAGTGGATATGATAGCTAAACTACAAAACATACTAAAATATACAAAAGTTAGGGCATGCATAAATGTTTCTATTTTAACATATACTGTTTCAATATGGTCCTTTAATTTTTTATTTTTTAGATTCAAAGTATTTTCAAACATTTAAAATTTTACTAGTAGATGGTTATGATTGTACAACTCATTTAATTGAATTAACAAAGATGGGACTGAGGAGGTCTAATCTTCAATTTATTTGTGTTCATGATATAACTATGTACTGCATTAATACCTGATACACAGAACTACAACTTTTCATACTTAGAAAAGTCAGCATGACACTTTTGAGTGTCTACTACATGTATGAACAACAGAAATCTTCAAAACTTGGCAATCTTTAACTAAAAATTGGCAACTCCATTGAGTTGCAAATCCCAATAAACTTGAATCATCAAAATGTAGTATTTACCATTTAATTATCCTTAATACGATGCAGATAACAGACAGACATTGAAGATATACCAGAATTTCCATCAATTTAAGAATATGAGTAATGATTTAGGAGTTTCAAAGGCTCAGATCATAAAGACAATACAATATTTGAGATCTAATGTATTGTTGTAACCATACTTTGAAGAGTTCCTGGCAGCCATTTTGGATTTTCTGAGGCACAAATCAGAAAAACAATACCATAATTGTGATCTACTATAAAATTCCCTCAATTTGAGTATAATATAGCCATACTTTGAATAGATCAGGGAACTATTGCAAATCAGACATTAAGCAGCCATTTTAGAATTTTCTGAGGCCCAAATCAGAAAAATTATACAAAATTTGCAATCTACTCTAAATTGCTTTTCATTTGAGTATAATCAAGTTATACTTCCGAACAATCTCAAAATCAGCCAATATTCCTGTTTTCCTGGGCCTCATGCACAGCGGCCCCTGGTTGTCAGGTTGAAAAACACCGATTATATGTGAAATATATATATGAAAATGAAAAACTAAAGCACTAAATGCAAAAAATTCCCGCAATTTTTAAAGCAGCTGAGCCATCTTTTTCCAGGCTAGATACACCTATACAGTATGGAAAAAACAAAAGCTGAATTAGGATTATTAGGGTTTTACAATTATCAAACAGTAAAATTGTATAAAAGATAAGAGAGTTATAGGGTAAGTAAACCCACCTATGAGGAGTGGTGGGACATATATTTGGAAGTCAGTACTGAAGAGCTGATCTGCTTAAACATACATCTCTGTCTAAGATGTTGTTATTCTATTCTAGTTAAATCCCAGTAGTTCTTTTCCCAATTAACTTCCTGGCCTTTAATAATTCAGTTCTGCTTCAGAGTTAGTATTAGAGTTTTAAGCCATCAATCAATTTAGAGTTGTACTTGGGAACCTTTTCTTATATTCATAGTTGTCTCTCATACATTGCATCAATTGGACAATGCACCAGATTGTCTAGTTGTTAAATTTCTTTACACCCAGGCCCTTGTTGAAAATGGAATTGCTCAGACTTGAGGATTTGAAATTCTCAAAACATAAGGATACTTTTTGTAGATATCTATGTCAGAATTGTCCACTAACTCCACTACTGAACATTTTTGCAGAGAAAAAAAAAAAATAAATATTCAGTGTCCAGTGTTGGTAGGTGTTCACTACAGATAAGGTAATTTATACAGAAGTCAGTAGAGAATGTGTGGAGCAAGGGAGTCCACTAGGGACAGGTGTTCACTAAGCCAGGTTTTACTGTATGTGAAAGATGATTCTTCAGTAATATGTAAAACTAACAGCCTAGATCAGGCCTACTAGACTTCCACCAACGCAAATATCAGATCTGACCTCCCTACGTTCCTTGAACTCGAACGATGGTTCTCACATCGCAAATGCGAAAAAAACACCGGAAAATGAAATATCTACAAGCATCTTCTCATAAGTCATACTTTTCCTCAGCACCCCCGTCCCTGTTATATAAAGATACAGAGATTTTACTCAAAACTAATTTAAAGAAACATTGCGTCTTGTCTATCAAATTGCACTACAACTTGTAATTCCATTGAAAATAATTGAAATTAAGTTGCAATTTTTGTTCTTATACTTCAAACAAATATTTCTATTCTTCATCAATTTACGAGTTTCCTGGATAATCCCGCAAAGCATGATGGTTTCAATTAAGTTTCTATACCAGCAAGAATGTCAATCAATTACCATAATACTCTAATTCTGTATGATGACATGCTATAAAGGTTATAATGTACTTTTTAGTACCAATTAATCTACCTTAAGCCATAATAGAAGAAAAATAAAGCAATGAGGGTGTAACATCAGGATTTTATTAGTTTATTTCTAAGGGGATTAATGGTACTGATACCAAAAAAGGATCTACCAAAGGATGAGTTAAAACTAGAGACCCTTAATATCAATTAATCCACCTTAAGCCATAATAGAAGAAAAATAAAGCAATACGGGTGAAACATCAGAATTTTATTCGTTTATTTCTAAACTGTCAGTTGCAAAAATAGGAAGCTGTGATGAGCAAAATTACAGAGAATAATATAACGCTACCTATTATCATTACTTACCATATAAATTGGTTTTTAATCTAGACTGAATCGATTCCTGAGTAGCACACAATCCTAGCTTGCTCTGCTGTGATTTAGACCTGAAAATCATGAAAAATGGAGCTTCAATTCAAAGATTTGCCTCTCTATGTAAACTAATTTCATGAACTCTAGAAAATATAAGAATTCTATAAATACTGGGTTCAAAATTTGAAATGAGCCACAAAATCTTTAATGTCATGAAGAAAGCAAAAATGGATTTCTTAAACTGTTAAAGATTTTTGCTACCTACTGATCACATGATCACCTTCTCTGGGTAGAGAACTCGACAGAAATAAAATACAAGAGTAACACAAGGGTTAAAATAAACGAAATCTAAAACTGAATCTGTTCAGCTGCCACTCTTAACAAATATCCACTTACGTCAGTGCATTATCTGCGAATAAAACAATACTGATACTCCAGCTCTTGGGAAATAAAAAATAAGATTTATTGTAATTTATACCAGAGATATCATTTTCAGTGCCATTAGGGTAATTATTACTGACTAGTATAATAGAAATCCTAAATATGATAATAGTGTTTATATAATTAGTGATATTACTCTTGAGTTCAAAGAGGTTCTTGTGGATGGTTCAGATAAAGCTGGATTGGTTCATCATTAAAATCACCCTTCATAATATCATCATCTTCGTGTATATCATTTATTTCTCTATTGTCCATCAAATATAATCATGTGATCAGTGAGTAGCAAAAAACCTTTACGAGGTATTATGTAATTCAATAAATAACTGTGAGGGTTGATCAAAAAAAATCTTCATCATTAGATCTAAAAACATTAATATTTGATGTTTGTTGTTCTTACTTGGCCTCTTACAGACATCTGCTAGTCTATGAAATAGGTTTGCTTTTGTACTTTTTATGTTTTTTTCAGAATGTATCTCTTTTTTATTTGAGGTAAATCAATAATGTATACATATACACTTAGATAAGCCAAATGTCCCCTTGGAAAATCTTTATCACTGTTATATAAATTGTTAGTGATTTTAATAAATAAAAAGAATAAAAAAACATTTAAAGATTGAGTTTTTGAGAAGATAAGTACTAGATCCATATTAGGAAACATTAATTCTTCGTATTATCCTTCAGTGGCAGTGACAAATATGTTTCTATGGAAACACATGACAACTAGAGGTCGTTTTGATCTCATTGTATGATATTTCCACAATTGATTTATGTGGAAATTAAATGTATTTTCTAATCACAGAGTATCAGGATTTCCCCTCATTCCACATTTCAAGACACATTTTACATTGATTCTAGCATAAAATTTCCTATCTGTAGTGAATATCTACCTACAGTGAACACATTTTTGTGGTTTCATAGGTGTTTACTATACAGGTTTTACTGTATATGGAATATTTAAGTAAACTTCAAATCTATATCATAAATATCTTCCACGTTTTTTTTTTAATTCTATGTTCTATACTATATTTGTATTTTTATGAATGTTTTGTAAATATTTCATGTTGAAATAAATTAATAAATTGATAAAAATTATTCAATGGGCGTGGCCCTAATATTCCTCAATGCTTGAAATATTACTGCAGGTGTACTATCAATATATTATATAGAGCTACAACTGCTACATTAAAATGGCCGTTGAGGCCCAGAGCCTGTGATTTTTGATATGGGGCAGCAGATGTTTCATCATTTCCTGCATTGGAAAATAGCATATGCATTAATGGGCTCTCATGGTGATAGAATCATACAGGAAATTTGCTTCTGTGGATGATACAATGTATATATTTCCTATTTCCACGCTGAAATATATGATTATTGATAATATTAGGGAATGTTTCATGAGTTTTCCAATTGTGATTAGCAGAATATAGAACTGTTAAGTCATAGTACAGGAGCACAATAGATTTGCACAAGAGTGTCTTATAAGAATGAGTAATATATTATAGTATCCAAATATTTATTCTTGTCCTATTCTGTGATTAAACCAGCAAGCCTGTAGCGAACCCCCCCCTGGCCAAAAATTCTTTCAAAATCATGCAGTTTTTCACCATTTTGAGCACTTTTCAAGTGATTTTAGCCATATTTGGGGCAAAATTGTCAAATGTGAACCCCCCCTGGAAATTTTTGAAAATTGACCCCCCCCTTGGCAAATCCTGGCTACGGGCCTGACCAGTAATACCTTATTTATGGCTTCTACAACATAACAGTGTTATAAACAAACAGGTTAAATCAATGACATAGCTACATACTGGCAGTGCTCAAGAATGCAAAATCAATTACATTCTATTCAAAATCAGAAATTTACCAGCAATTAAGCCCCTCAGCTAATAGAAAGGAGAATTGGGAAACGTCATCTCTTAAGTTTCATTTAACATGATAACACTGAAGTATATTTAACAGTCTGTAGTTAAAGGGTTGTCTATGTAAAAATCACACTTGTGTCACAAAAAGGTGTTAAATGCAGAGGGATCCACTTAGAAAAAGCCATTATTCTTATACAGGGGTTTCTTCATTAGCAGCAGGCAATATGCAATTTTCACCTGTTGTTTTCACAAAATCGCCTGTTGTTTTAGGGATTTTTAGTTTTTAGGGACTTTTCCATGTTAAATCTATGATTTCCATTAATTTTACCTGTTGTTTTCAATTATTTAGCCTGTTGTGAAAAATTCTAGTGAAACCCCTGTTATATGGAAATATTTTAGAAAGCTTTGCATGCTCTTAGGAATGTTTTTAATAGATGGGTTTTCCCTTGGAAAAATAGATGGATTTTCCTTAGAAAAAATCACTTTTTATAGAAGGGTGTTCCTTAGAAAAAATAGCTTTTTTAAAAGATGGATGTTCCTTATTAAAAATATTTTTTTAATAGATGGATGTTCCTTAGGAAGAGGTGTTTATCAAAAAGGGAAGTGCTTATTATGGAAGAGATGTTTTACTATAGAAAGTATATGAAGATCCCAAAAGAGTTGTCTTTCTTTTGGATCTTTACTGTCGGGGTGATTCTTTCGGATAATATTTTCTATTGATGGGGTGTTTATTTATTTATTTAACAGAGGAGATTTTCTGTGAGTTATCTTGGAAGAGATGTTCTACTGTAAATTGACATTTCTATGGAAGGACATTTTAAAAGAGAAAGTTTCTTTGGGAGAGATATTTACAATAGAAGCAAGGTAACTCCTAGAGTTGTTTACTTTGAAGAGGTGTTCCCAAGAGAATTATGATTTCTATAGAGAGGTGTGGAATAAGGTGAAGTCTTTCCTACAAAATTGAATATACAAATGTATTGGGACATTCGAACAAGTTTCTGTGCTAGTTCTCTTTTATCTCAACAAAACTCTCTAATATTCCACATAGTTATCATCTTCTCTTGGGTTAATTTATCCATTTAGCCAGTGATTAAATACCAATTAATCTTTAAAGTTTAGTATTGACAAAAGTCGGATGCAAGTACTTGAAGTATGTGGCTGAGGAAATGAACAATTACCGCCTGAATAATTCAATATCTAAGGAGACCAACATACCCCCTTGATTAAGGAATTCTTAAAGGGCAATGACAAAATGCAATCTGTTTGGTCATAAGATCAAGAATAGGATCAATCTCATTGGGACCAGGCTTGGAATTGAATTGCTTTTTTGTAAAATAGTTGAATTCACTCTGATTTACCTGATCATTTCTTAACTATCAGAATACATGTATCCAGTCCATTACTATTGTTATTTGACTTATATGCTATACAGACTGGTGAACGAATGATAAATGTAGTAATGGGTGGACTGATGGAGAGCTTCACTATATCCCTACTTTGTTCATTAGGATAAAACAAACTAATGGTAGTTTAAATCTAATGCAGGTTGTGTAACCACATAACAAATGTATCAACCTTGGAGAAAGTATTTAGCAATCAGAGAGTCTACCATGTAGGCAGTTAAACAATCTCCCCCTTGATGATCAGCTAAATATATAAGTTTGTCTATCGCACTTTCACAAACAAGGCATAATGCAAATGTCACCACCTGCCATTTGTTTTAGATGACATTAACGCTAACAGTCAGACACCAACCACCAAATGTTAATCACCATCCACAAAAAAAGATGGAGACTGTAACGATACATAAAACTGAAAAAAATGAAAAATGTCATTTTAATTCTATTTCATTTGAAATTAATAACCATTTGGTTTATCATTGGCAATTATAATCCAGGAATTACATAAGAAGTTCACCATGTGGACCTACATGTACCGTATTCCTATGTACACATACATGTCAACCAGCAGTTCTAAGGCAGACACCTACCAATTCTAGCAATAAAAGAGTTTCACACGGCAGAGAGAAACAAGTAAGATAGAACTACATGTATAGGGTGTCTCAAAAAAATGTACCCAAAAGTATATCAACACCATAGACAAACCAATCAATATTTTCAGACATTTTTTGCATGGTCTTGTAGATAAAAGATGAAAGTGTTTTCCCCTTTACACAGTTTTTAATTCAGTTTTGCCTTTTTGATACTAAACCCGTTACCGTTGACACCACATATTCAATGTAACCTCATATTTCGATGACACTCTGTATCCTTACTACCACATTGTTCATCACATTTGATATTTCTGGTGGAATGTTTTGATTTCTCTTCGGATGCTGGTCTTAACTTGTTCTAGGTCTCTTAGCTTGGGTTTAGCATAAAACTGGTCCTTCAAATAGCCTCAAAGAAAAAAGTATGGGCCGTCAAATATGGTGAATAAGGGAGGCCCTCACAATGTCTTATAGCCCCCTTATACAGAGAGGTCAGAGGTTCAAGAAACTGCATTGGTTGCGATTCTAATGTAGCTTTTGTTGTGTGTATCAATGTGAGACCACTGTGTTTTCATTTGGATATCATTTGATCTCTAGGCTAGCCTGCCTAACTCTGGAAGGTAACTCCTGAATCATTTGCCGATAATTGACCTGATTATCTGTGTTTGTTCTGCCATTGTCGTCCTCAAACATCTTTCTCTGTGGCTATTTGAAGGAGTGTTTTAATGCTCATTCCAAGAAAAAAGACCTAGAACAACTTAAGGACAACATCCAAAGAGAAATCCAAAACATTCCACCGGAATTATTATCAAATGTAATGAACAATGAATCAGTAAGGATACAGGCTGTCATCGAAAAATGAGGTTACATCGATTATGTGGTGTAAAGGGTAAAGGGTTAAAGCATCAAAAAGACATGACTGAAATAAAAATGGTGTATTGGGGAGAAAACTTTCATGTTTTGGCTACATGACCATGCAAAAAATGTCTGAAAATATTGATTGGTTTATCTGTGCTCTTGATATACTTTTGGGTACATTTTTTGAGACACCCTGTATATCTTAGACTTGGTTTTACACTATTTCCAGTGACAGAAAGGAAAAAATAAGTGAAGAATGAATTTACAATTGCAATCCTTACATTAGACAATTAAAATCTGCAATATAATATGTAAATCGCATAGCAATGACCTGTGATTATCCCGATGAAATAATTAGGAAATGTATCGGAATGCTATATGTGAAATAGGAGCATTACTTCCTAATCAGAAGGCTGCACTCTGAAAAATCAATAACAATCAGTCAATTTCTCTCTTTGTGAGACGTGCTTTCAAGAATTGGAATTAGGGAATTGCATGTAGAAGTTATATTTTGAAATAGCTAATCTAAATTTTAGGCATTCTGATGGTAAACTATTGGGCCTGACTAGGTATGAATGCATATGAATACAAATGGTTTCCAAAAACCATTGCTATGGGAAAGAAGAAGCCTTATGGAGGCCATCACTGAATCTTTATAGAAGCATCCTTAACCCCCCCCCCTGCTCTATTTGGGAGTCAGTGATGTACAACATGATCAGAAGATACATGTACATGCACGATATTGTTCTTTTCGGGATCTTTCCTTATGAGGACACAATTCTTATTTTTACAATTCTGACAAAACTGTTTCAGTTCAAATATATGCTAAACTCTGATTCTACTCATTTTCAAGTGGGTGAAAAGGGGTTTTCGGGTAGGTGCAAGCCTGTTTCAATTGGGTGCTCCACTCAATTCCTTTAGTGCTGGGAACATCACTCTATGGTATTCAAATCAATGAAGGAGCAAGTAAAATGTTCTTCTGACACCATGTTAGAATCTGCTCCCTGAACAAACAATTTGGTTACAAAGCAAAATTGCGAGACTGTTTAATAATACATGTACATTGAAACATGTCCATTGAATCAGCTTGAATATAACCAGGCAAAGATAATAAATCCTTGTCAATTAAGGAATGCTATAGTATGCTTTACCCATCTTAGCCGATTGAAATTATTCAATATCAGAATAAAAGACTAAAAGCAAGATGAATGCCATAAAATAAACTTACCCCTTATACTCTTTCTTTAAACATTAGCAAATCCAGAGTCTTAAACAAATCCAGTTGATGCCATTTAAAGATGTCTGCAAACAAAGTAAAGATTTTGTAAATGTCTTTCTTATTGCTTAATGGGCAAGCTAGTTTGATTATAGAAAAATCTATCATCCAAACTGGTGTATGTATTACTCCCCAATGTATCCTATAAGGCAACAGTACCAGCTATATTAATCTCAAATGGATACATGAATTGGTGTCACAACAATATGAATTTTCAGCCCAATTCTTGATGGAATTTTTACATGATTACAAACAATGTCATCAAAGATACAAATTTTCAAATCTTCCATTTTCAAAGGAGTAGAAATGCATAGAATTTGGCATAAGCTTACCAAAGGGTTGTCTTCTAGTTATGCCTAATGGAGGGAACAAGCTGAGAAATCAATAAAGTAACTGATGAAACTAGTAGGTAGTAAGCTAGCACCCAAAAATGTATTAGTTCGTGAACAAATTGAAATTACTTGTTTCTTATGTATTTTTATGTGATACTTCAGAAAATGTTTGTCTGACGCGCCGTTTCCGGGGCGAAAATTGTCAAATTGGCGTTTTCGACCCTAAAATGGAAAATTACAGGGGGTACTTTATCATCATTGAATAAATCCTTCAGTTGGTCTTCAATCATCATAATAATTTTATGGGGAGTTGATTGGATCATGCTGAGGTAGTATGTTAAGGTTCAATCACCTGTCACTCATGGTTGCCATGGAAACCACAATTTTCATTGAAAAATCCTTAATTTTGGCCAAACCTGTACAGGTACATAATATAGAATGAGGATTATTTTTCAAATCAACAGATATAAGAATATTTTAGCACACCCAAAATGGCCAGGGAAGTTCAAGCATTTGTTTAAGCATAAAGGATATTGCAATTTATATAATTGGTAAGTGTCAAAGACCATACTACTACATAAGTGATCAAAAGTGGGTGTCGCCCCCATTATAGTAAATGATTACCATTCTCTGAAAAGACAGAGTTTAACTTGACTTTTGAGATACATTTATATTGAAGTTCTTTGAATATACTTAATATCATGCATCCCTGGTATATAATGTACATATGAGTGTAAAAGTTGTTACATGGGGAGCGGAGGGGGGGGGGGGTGGTAGTAACAGAATTTGGAGGGGGCAGAGCTAATCAGCCTTAGTATAATTCTCATTTATATAGTTCTGGATATTCAAAGGTTACATCTTCTGGGTCTTCTTCATTTTCATAACAATATATAGGTACTACATTTTACATGATTGGTGTCAAAGACCATACCATTACATAAGTGATCAAAAGTAGGCATCATCACATTCATAGTAGTAGATGATTTCCATTCTCTATAAATACAGGGTTTAAGTAGAATTTTCAAGATATATATATATATATTTATCATTTATACTTCTTTGATTATACTTAATATCAACCATTTCAGGTAAATAATGTACATCTCATATCTTATAGTTTTCATTGACTTAAACTACTTTATAGTTGATGTAACGCTTTGATATTTGAACTAAACCAGGCTTATATGGCATATACCATCGCTCGATACTGACCAGTGACATCTGAGTTTTATAGTTATTGCATGAGAGGCAGGTTGAGAGGGGGGGGGGCTAGTAATAGAAACTGGAAGGGGGCTCATATGGTTCATTCTCTACAAACAGAGGTCAACTTGAGTTTTAAGATCATCCAGTGATCTCCCTAGGATTTCTTCTTAGGTGGGTATAAAATTTTCATTTTCACAATTTAGACCAAAATTGGTCAAAATATGCTGATTTTTCATGATTTTTCTAACTTTCAAGTGGGTGCATATGGATTTTCAGGTGGGTGCAAACCTATTTTCAGGTGGGTGCAAACCTATTTTCAAAATCTCAGGTGGGTACTGCGCCCGCTTGCTTTAATGCTTAGAAGATCACTGTCATCTATACGTCATCTATACTTCTATTATTTAAGAAATATAGACTGAAGAGCAGGTGTTATATTGACAAATACACTCCACATGGCTATGCAAGAGAGTGAGGGGTTCGAAAGCTTTTGTACCTAGCCCTAAGGGGTCATTGTCAATATCACGCCTGCTCTGAGGTATATATTACAATTCAAACATGAAAACTCCCCAAAATTTTTCGAATATTCAACTTATGGTCTGCCGTTACTACAGCCCTCTTGATGTCACAAATTACTTGTATTACCAAGGGTAGTGTTGACATATATACCCCGGGTAAAATGTTGACTTTGTTCACAGTTTATAGAAGGCGTGAATACAGTCATGTTCAAATATAATTTATATAAACCATTTCTCATAAATATGTTTAGTAGTATAGTTTTTATATGAGGTGAGGGTGGGGAAGTGGTTTCAGACCTTGGAGGGAGCTCTACTCCCTCCCAATTATTCTGTTACTACTCCCATCTAGGGTCTGGCATAATATATGCAGCCTTCATACCTTCGCTAGATGAAGTAAGTGCCAGGCGTTGAAGGGGCAGGATAGCACATTTTAAAAAGATGGAGCACCATATTGAGTCCCAGCTGAATGACTCTCAAATCTGCAAGTGTTTAGTGGTATTTTCTCTTGAGAGATTGTTGATATATCAATATCATGCGATAAATCCCAAGAATGAAAATGATCAGACTATGAGAAGGCTCATCTATAGTTGTTGTATTGCCATGACTAGACGCTCTGATACTCATAGCATCTTTCTGTCTCACCTGAAGGGCTGGGAAGAAATAAAATTTCATGGTTTATCATGATGATCACTAGAAAGGATATGGCATTTCCCACCTGCTACACGGTAGATTTTTTCTTGGCATATTCTGGTCTTATTAAGTGTAACTGGTATAGTTGCTTCTTGTTTGCATCCTTATTCATGAACTCATTCCAATCTTAAGGGACTCATGTATTTCTACATTTGATAAGGTGATGTGCCACCACCCACTCCTTCTCCTATCAGGTTCGTTTAATGAATTTTGGATTTAATTATCACATAATCACTCTGCTGTTAGAAGTATCTTGAAAAACATGTATTTTCTGCCAGCTCCAGAAACAAAACAACCCATCAGAGAATCCATGAAATTTAGTATGATATTTCCTTAGGGCCGATATGGGCCCGAGTAATATTGTCACAAGGAATAAACACATTTTCAATCCATCTCTCATGTGCATTTTAAAGATTACATATCTTTCATTTATAAGTCCTTCAATCAATGTGTTAGGATAAGCACAGAATACAGCAAAGTGTAGTGCTGGACACACAAAAGAAGACTGATTAATATAATAAAAAAACATTTATGTTAAGCCACAATGTCTTACACCAGCAAAACCACATAAACCAATTGAAATAGAAGTTTAGACCCCATAAAACAATCAAAGACTATGAAGGAACCGACATCAGTCTTCTTCCACCTTGTCAAGAGCTTACTACAAAGCACTTATCGTGCATATGGCCCATATTGTAAACCCTGACATTCCAGCAGAAGATGGATATGGATGGAAACTGAATGACTCCACCATTGCATTGAGTATTGACTGGTATTCTCAGACAAATGATTGTTGATATAGCACCAGGAGATGAATCAGAAAGACTACAGAAGATGTATCTTATGAAATCCAGAACTCTGAAGATGAAATTGATACTTAATGCTGACTTGTTCCCCCCACCCCTCCGAATTCTGTTACTACCCCCCTCCCATACAATAACTATATACAGTATATTGAGATAACTAAGAAGACCCAGAAAATACTCTATGAAGAAGTCAATAGGAAGAATTTATTAGTATTCCTAAGGCTGATTAACTCTGCCCCCTCCCAATTCTGTTACTAACCTCACCCCTCCTCATGCAATAACCAGTCCAATGTAAATGTATCTCAAGTCAAGTTTAACTCTGTTTTTACAGAGAATAGCAATCATCTACTCTAGTATGGGGGCGACGCCCACTCTTGATTACACTGTACTTGGGTAATTGTATGTTCTTTGACACTGACCAATCATGTAAGTTGTAATATCCCATATACTGAGATGAATATGAAGAAGACCCATGCAGAAGACGTACCCCATGAAATCCAGATATATGTAGATGAGATTTATACTTAAGGCTGATTAGCTCTGCCTCCTCCCAATTCTTTTACTAGCCCCCCCCCCTCTGTACCCCCCCCCCCCAATGCAATAACTATAACACTTAGATGTACATTATTTACCAGAAATGCTTGATATAAAATATAATCAAATAAGTCTAGTGTAAATGTATCTCAAAAGTCAAGTTGAACTCTGTTTTTATAGAGTATAGCAATCATCTACTATTATGGGGGCGACGCCCACTTTTGATCACTCATGTAATTGTATGTTCTTTGACACTGACCAATCATGTAAGTTGCAATATCCTTTATATTTAAACAAATGTTTGAACTGTACTGGTTATTTTGAGTGTGCTAAAATGTGCTGATATGTATTGATTCGAAAAATAATCCATATTCTACATGATGTACATGTTCAGGTTTTGCAAAATTAAGGATATTTTGAACGAAAATTGTGGTTTCCATGACAACCATGAGTGACAGAGCATTGGAATTTTACATACTACCTCAGCATGATCCAATCAACTCCCCATACAATTATTATGATGATTGAAGACTAACAGAATGATTTATCGAGTGATGATAAAGTACCCCCAGTAATTTTCCATTTTAGGGTCGAAAACCCCATTTTGACAATTTTCGCCCCGGATATGGCGCGTCAGACAAAAAAATTCTGAAGCATCATATAAAAATACATAAGAAACAAGTAATTTCAATTTGTTCACGAACTAATACATTTTTGGGTGCTAGCTTACTACCTATAGGAACCAATATTGAGTAGGCGGCTTCATGGTAGTTGCGGAATCTCGATAGATTAATTCCTTTGAACACGAACCCGTAAATAGAAATTATGCAAAAATATTATCAGAGGGATGACTTAGACTAGTCCATTTTACCAGTAGAAATATTATATACAATATTTAACAGAGATCTTTTTTCTATTTTAATCAGTATTTCATTTTTCACTTTTATTTAAAATTATCACTAAAATTTTATGTATATATAAAT